GTTTTGTTTGATTTTTGTTTTTGTTCTCATTTTGTTTGGTGTTTTCTTTAGAGTTTGTTTGTTTTTTGTTTGTTTTCATTTGCTTTTGTTTGGTTTGGTTTCATTTGTTTTCTATTTTTTTCTGTTTTTTGTTGTGTTTTGTTGTTTTTTGCTTTGTTGTAGTTTTTGTTTGGGGGTTGGTTTTGTTTTTTCTGCTTTGAGGGACTTCTTTGGCAAATGTCTCTTGGTTTCCTTCAGGTCATGTCACTAGATTCGTCTTTACAGACGGTCACTCAGCAGAACGCTCATCTCAAATCTGACCTACGCATCACACAGCAAGAAAGAGATGCCCTTAAACAGGAAGTGATTTCTTTGCACAAACAATTGCAAGCTGCCATTGAGAAGGTGAGTATAGAGGTCCCGAGCTTCTGTCATTTGTTAGATGGAGACACTGAAACAACGCTTTATCTCCCCCCACCCACTGTAACTATTTCTCTTCCTTCCTCCTCTCTTTCTCCATATCAGTTGTTGGAGGTTTCCGTTGTGTCTGCTAGTCAGCAACAGGGGAGGCGAGTGTGGGCAGAGCTTTCCGGGCTGATGGAGGCGGAGCATGCCTCACTTACAGAGGCGAACCAGCAACTCAAGCGACAGATAAGGGAGATGAGCTCAGAGCTCCAGTCGTCAAAGGAGCAGGTCAGAGCATGTTTACTAAACACCTCTGGCAGCCATAGGATGTGTGCAAGCAATTGATGACGAAGTTGATGTTCTTTTTTAGATCCACCATCTGGAAGCATTAAGTGTGAAACACAGAGGACTTGTAAAAACTGCAGATCAAGAAAAATCAGCTTTGAAACGTGAAATGGAGGCTTTGCACGCTCAGCTACTGTCAACACGGAACAAGGTTCCCCCTACCTCAATTCCCCAAATTAAACTTTTTAAACGCTTTTTAGTGCTGGTCGAAGTCATGACCAAGCAGTTAGTATATATGCATAAAATCACGATGTAGAGTTGGCTTGCTACCCTAGTACATTTGGCATCCCTGTCATCTACACAAACACTCGTTCCCTCATCATAACACACTGATCCTCTGTTGTTTTAGGCTCAGCTGGCTGCAGTCTTGCCTTCGTCTCCTCTACAGTTGCCGGGGGAACAGAGAAGACAGCACCATAGCGACTTCAACATGCAGGTAACACACTTGCACCCAAACAATCAGCATCACAGCCGGGACGAGATTTCTCTCTGGGTTAGTGCATACTCTGTAACGGCGTATGCGCAGCACTCTCTGGGGAATATTTACTGTGCATCTGGTCCTTTGGTGAATTGGGCTCGTTTGGTGTCTCTGTTTGTTTGCTCTATTCTGGAAAACAGTCGTCACTCGTTGTATTCACACTCATGTGGGCAGCACTGGGTCTGTTCTTTCTGTAGAAGCAGTGTTAGAGTGACCCCTATGTTGTTTATGTGAATGGTGTTGGATGACGCTCTTGGTGTGTATTTATTAAGTGTTTAGGGGTTTGTATCTGTGCAAGTCTGATCTATCACAGCTCTCTGTGTATGTGGATATAAGACGTGTGCATATAGCGCTGTGTGTATGTTTCTACAGGTGTAAGAGCTGTGACATCATCACTAACAGACATAGAAGAATTGCAGCCTGTGACATCACCTCCCCTTTGAACTCTGACCTTTAGTCTGTGTGGTCCAATCACCGAACCCTTCCTGCCAGATATGGTTGTTCTTGTTTGAGTTGTTGGGGTCAATGTAGCTTTGCAGCTGGTAATGACCTGAATCTGCCACAAGGTGGCATCATGTTGCAAGTACAATGTACTGTGAGTTGTTTCCTCTTTGGCCCAGATGCTGCCACACATGGAGTAAAATAGGATTTTGACATTTAATGCCATTAAGGGCAGTACAATCTATGATTATGAATTCATTTTAAGATCTTAAGGCATTTAAATAAGCAGTATTGTTCTATTTTTTTTTTTTTTACTTTGCACTGTTTTGGCATCACCATTTTAATAATGAATGATTGTTCTGAGAAAAATCCATCTTTTTTTCATTTAAGTTTTTTTTTTTTTTTAAATTGTATTTATTAAAACCTCAATCCATTGCTTTATCTACCTCTACATGTTTTACTGGATAGTTTGCATCACTAATGTATAATTAATGAATGGATTTAATTTATTGATTTATTTTATTTTATTAGATTTATTATTCTGTTGGATGTTTTACTTGGTTTAAATGTGATATGTCCCTTATTGATGTGAATGTGTTTAATATATATATATATATATATAATTTTTTTAATTATATATATAACTGAGTCCAAATAAACTATTAACTGAAATAATTTGTGTAGTGTATTTAATTGTAAGTTTAATTAAAAAAAAAAAAAGCTTACTCTTGGTTGTCTGTGACTTATTTACATGTCCCTTATTTTACACCATTTATATTTTAAAAAATGTTTTCATTTTTCCATTTCTTTTATATAATCTATTTTAGCTTGTTTGTTTGTTTGTTTTGCTCGTATATCATCTATTTTAGAGGGTTTTTTAGGTTTGTAAGGAAGGGAAGGTACAGAAACCACAGAAACTAAGGCAGTGGATTTCTAGCAGACCAATTGACCTTAATCTGTATGCCCAGCAGGACGAGCGGGAGGTGGCGCTGTTACAGATGGAGGAGAGAATGAGAGAAGTGGAGCTCACGCTCAGAAACCTCAAACTGCTGCTACAGGAGAAAGTGTCTCAGCTGAAAGAGCAGGTACAGAAATACACAGACGTCCTCCCCTGCCCTTTAACACATTCTTGATAATGCATTTTACTCCGTCAAAATCAGACTTCCACCATAACCGTTCTGTTCTCTCTGCTTCTGTAGTTGAGCAGGAACAGTGAATCGGATGTGTTGATCAAAGACCTCTACGTGGAGAATGCTCAACTGCTCAAAGCCCTGGAGAAGACCGAACAGCGTCAGAAAGTAGCAGAAAAGAAGAACTTCCTCCTGGAGGAGAAAATTTCCAGCCTCAACAAGATTGTCCGTGACCTCGGCCCTTCCCCATTGACTCCTGCGCCCTACCACTTCTCACGCTCCTGATTTTAAACTGTATTACATATGATTTTAGTCATACAAGCCATTCCAGTATGATTTTCTTCTGAGAAACATGTTCGAGCTGCTCTATATACGTCAAGCTCCAAAAACGACAAGAAATACAAGTAGTCCATATGACTTGTGCACTATATTCTCTGAAGCCATACGAAAGCTTTGCGTAATGAACCGACTGAAATAATTGTATTGACTGAAGATCTTCCCTTCTGCCATAGATCCCAAATCTCCTTCCCATTCATTTTTATTTCTAGGTGAAACTTTCCTTTAAGTTGTTTTTTTTTTTATTGCTTTTAACAATTTAATTTTATAGCAGTTTTTTTTATTAAGCCATACTGTAATATTACTGGTGTATCTGGACCTCAAACTGCAATTAGAATGTGGTCTTAAGGAATGGTGAAATTCCTTAGATCTAGAGAAGCTTGTCCAACAGCTGAGGCCCCCCTGTTCACACACACACACATGCAGCCACCTATCATTACATGGTTGTAGTGAAATGCAAACAAGGTCAGTGATTCCCTGCATCTCAGAGAAGGAAATTAAAGGGCAAATGCCACAGTGTTTCTTCACTGTTTATTACTGTTTGTTATAGTGCATTTTATTTCTTTGGGATTTAGTTAATATAAACCTTTTCACTTGAGAATGTGCACCAAACATCCCATAATGTTACTTTAGTTGCCGCAGGACTTTGTGCTTTGTATTTATTTTGTGTACCTATTTTTCATTTATGATCTGTAATCATGTATTATGAGCACTGTGAATATGAATAATAGGGAGTCTATTAAAATATTTATGTGGAGTAGAAGAAACTCAGAGCTCGGAGATGTCAGCCTTGTGGTAACCACTGTATAATTTGTGTGTGGAGAGCAAAATTGCTGGTTATGATGTTTCATTTCAGGCGTCTCTCAACCAGTGCAGTTTACAAGCTTTGATGCTTTGGGAAAAAATGCACAGAGAATTACAGGCATTTAAACATTTTTAAATTGCTTTGAAATATGTGTCCTTATGTTTTTAGCATTGTAACTCAGCCTTAGGTGAAGTATAAGATATGCTTTACCGATATTTGTTATGAAAATAACGTTAACTTACCCTTTAAGTGTTAATTGTATAACACTTGGTTCAGCTGAAAAAAACAACATTCTTTTTTTGTAAAAAAAAAAATATATATATATATATATATAGTTTTAGCAAACACTGGGTTTGAGTTTTCATTTATATATAATGAGAGAGAGAGATCGAATAGCTTAGTTTAATTTCGTTTATTTTATAATTTATGTATTTATTTTCATCGTTATTTTGGTAAATCCCACATAAATACATAATTGCTTATATAAAACAGCTTATATGAAATTTAGTTTGACATCCTAATTTTCTGAAGGTGACGTACCTTCTTTAACTGTCTATTTGTTGAAAAAGTAACTTACTTTTAAGGGTTTCAGGCCCTATTTTGTACCCTGTTCGTGGAAGGTACTTCTGTCATTTATATTGAACCTAATGCGTTGAATGAATCATCACAACAGTCCTGCAAAACCACAAAAAAATGTGAAAGGAGAAAAAGTCAAATATTTCCCACAATGCTTTGCTCCTATGAGGACCTGGTTTAGGGAAGATCTGATCTGGGATCAGGCTGCTGTGGGGAGAGAGCGATCCAGAGAGACTTGATCTGGGATCAGGCGAGATGGGGCAGTTAAATAGAAAAAAAAAATCTCATAAATATGCTTTTGTAAGTAAGCTGTTTTAGCTTTTAGTTTTAATTACTTTTTCTTATAAGTCGCGTTGGATAAAAGCGTCTGCTAAATGACTAAAAGTAAAAGTAAAATAAAAGTAAAGTAAGCTGTTCTGGAGTCAGGCAGTTGGAAGTTATGGATCCAAACAGCTGATCTGAGATCAGGTGGCGAGGAGGGATCCAGTGAGAGCTGATCTGGGATCAGAAGGAGATTGAGGGCTGGGTTGGGTTGGACATATTCAGCTGGTAAAAGTTTTCGTGCGCTTTTCTCTGGGCGTAATTTGGACAGCGCGCACGGGGAGCGCTAATTAATCATCGAAAAACGTTAGTAATGTTCGACTAAACACTTAAACAAGGACACGTTCGCTAAATGCAAACTAATCGCCAGTGTGTTTATGTTTTCAGTCTGTAGCCATGATGACTCCAAACTAGCTACCGGGCTAAACGCTCCGAAATGGACTCGGTTTTGAGTGTCAGTGCGAATCTAGATCTGGATTTCAGGATGAAGCCGAAGTCTAATCGGTCCAGAATCGAATCGGATTAACGATGCTCTCTAGAAAGAAGAGTAAAAACGAAGCGTCCAAGCCAGCAGAAGTTCAGGGCAAATATGTGAAGAAAGAAACGTCCCCGCTTCTGAGAAGTGAGTAATTTAAGTCAATCTGCCTAACAAAACCCACAACATAGAAAAGAATCCATTAAATAATCTGCATTTTTATATAACATACTCTTTCGGCGTATTTTGGAGTATAAAACTTTTGAGAATGAAACCTAATTTAAGTGTTTGTATGTTTAATTAATTAAATGTCAATACAAGTCAAGTTTCGTCACTGTAATTGTTGCTTAAACAACTGACAGAAACCATATGTACACTGTTACATATTCTGTCAGCCTAATAGATGTATATTGTAAACCTGGGAATACCTTTTGCATTTTTTTAAAAAGATAATTTGTCATATGTTCGTATTGAATACTGCAATTTAAGTGTCATTTCATATAAAATTGTCCACTTAAAATATCACACTTAGTTTATTTTTAAAACAAAGAATATTTTGACACACACTTTACCCTATTTCAAAAATTTATTTCTCATTTTCTGATTTTATTTCTGATTTTATTATTATTTTTTAACTATGATTTAAACTTTCTCCATAACAGGATTGGCACAGCTATAATAGAGTACAAATTAAAATGGCATTTTGTAGTTATGTGAGTAACATCAGTTTGTATTTATTACCTAATTTTAGATAACCTCATATTAACACTATTGTCATTTAATGTTGCATAGTTCTTTAATTGTAAGTTAAAGTATCAGGGCATAATTGGGTGGATAGTAAGTCAAAATACTCACAAACACACACACACAAAATGCAAATTAGCCACAAATATATTTAGCATAATATAGTATAAATTTTGCGTAATGTAGTCATAGACTTCTGCTTGTATTGGGAAAAAAAAAAAAGTAGAAATCCAATTTTTTTCACTATTATTTTTGTAAGAAAAACTTTTACACATTTAAACCATGACTCGAGACATCCGAAAAAAGTTGTAGTCCAGTAAATCAAAATAATTTAAATATGTAATATTCTTTTTATTTTAGAAACTTTAATTCTTAAAAACAGTTCTTAAAAGGCAAAGAATTGTAGTAATGATCAGTGTTGCACATTTTGAGCAACTTTGTTTTGCATCACTGTCACTCTTTTCTGGATAATTGAATATTGAATTTTATGGTAGACTTTATCTTGAGAGTTCTTTACAAAATAAATATCGCAGAGTATGTTTTAATCCACTTACCCCTCTTCTGCCTCCCTCATGGTTTGTTCCAGATTTGATGCCCTCGTTTATCCGGCATCCAACGTTTCTTCGCCGTGAGCCCCCGTTAGTGGAGCCAGTTCCGGCCGGGGTGTCTGGTGCAGGTCCATATTCCTCTGGATCTGTTGGGGATGTTAGCGTCCCCAAGAGTTTCTTGCGCAACGCCCCTCCACGGACCCCCCTTGAGGTGTCACGCAGGGAGAGTCATCGGCTGTCTGCTCCACCACACCTTCATTGTGATTACTCCCCTTCCTCGCCATCTTACATGAGCGATGCTGGTTCGGTAACAGAGAATGGAGACGGCGGCCCGTTTTACTACCCTCCAGAGCCGTACTGCAATAACCAACCCAGGCGAGCACGCAGACCAGACCACTTTAATGAGAACTACAGGTACTATGAGCACAATGAACTCAGCTACCCACGAAACCCAGGACAGCCTCAGACGCCCCAGCCTCACAGTCGCCCACCCCCAGGTGAGTAACACATCATCTGGCATGCAATAACACTACATGCACAGACTCACATGCATTATAAAAGACTCCTCATGAAATAACAAACATGACTGTCACTCTGTACTATAAATACACTGTGTTTCAAATTATTATGCAAGTGACATATCAATAGGATTTCGGTACAATAAAGAGTATATAAACCCTACTTAAAGAGGTTGTTCCACATTATTAAGCAAGTCACAGTTCTCATGCAATATGGTGAGGAAGAAAGATCTTTCTGAAGATGAAAAGTATGAAACAATGCAATGTCTTGCAAAAGGCATCAAAAGAAATAACATTTTGCGAAAAGCAAGTAGAGATTATTGAACTGTCAAAAGATTTGTGAGTGAAGTTTCTGTCAAACAAATGAACTGTATTGTAATGCCAGCTGTAAAAAAGCCACTGCTGAGCAGCAAACAGGTGTTTGAAGCTACTGGAGTCTCAAGATCCTCTCCATGCAGACTGGCAGTTGTGTGTAAAGCTGCGTTTCAGTCACTGCTAACCAAACCTCACAAAGAGAAACCTGCACAAGAATTAGAATTAGAGAAACCTTCAAGCTGAACTTGAATCAACATCTAACCTGGCCATCTCAATACCTGACTTGATTATTATCAAATTATTGTTGGCAGTTCTGGAGAGAAGTGTTAGAAGCCGATTCCCACCTCTAACTTTTCTAAAGTAATTCTCAGATGTTCTGGGGGATGACATTCCACTGGAGACTATTCAAAAATTAAATGAATCTATTCTAAGAAGGTTGGAAACTGTATTAAAGGCAAATATAAATATACACTTTATGGATGAGAGAATCGTTTGCCTTGAATACAGCTTAACCAGCCATGATGAGTGACATGACATTTTGCTGGTTTCTATTTTTGTAGTGGCATGCCCACCCTGAAATTTCATTGGTCCTAAATCTTGTGTTGCATAATTAATAAATGTATACTAAACATCAGATATGTTCAGATTGACTCTCTTAGTGTGGCTGATTGCTTGTGTTGTGGACAGACAAATCATATAATGTTGAAACTGTAGCTTGATATCTGCTAAGAATGTCTGCTTTGATGCATTTATCTCTTCCTGTAGTGTTTCTGTCTTGCTGATTGCATTAAATGAAGATTCATCCGTTTCTATGATGGACAGCTTTGCAGTATTGTGGTTGGGTCAGATTAGTGACAGAATTGTATATTAATATTTTGTCTCCTATAATATGCAGATGGGTTCTTGGTTTCTTCATCAGAATGAACTTGTTGTTCTCAGATTAATCCGATTAAAACAGTGGCCTCAAAGTATTTGCACACCTAAGCCATACTTGAATGTACAAAATTCATACATAAGTGTTCAAATACTTTTGGGACAAGTATATATTTATGGGTGTATGAGTGAGATGAACCTCTAGAGCTATTGAGCAGGAGAAGAGATGTGAAACTGTACACTGACGTCATCACACATTCCAGCTCTGACTCTCTCACACACACAAACACACAGTTCCCTCATAAAACATATGCTCATGATTAAAGCTGAGTGATATATCTAAAATCATGTCTTTATATTATATTATACTATATTATATGGTATTGTATTGTATTGCTGATTTGATGTTCAGGAAATGTTTCTTAATATTAGACCAAGATTATTATTATGGTTTTTGTGGAAACCATAATACATTTTTCCAGGATTCTTTGAAGAATATAAAGTTTAAAACATAAAGTGAATGTTTTTGAGTGAAGCAAACAAGTCATTAGAACAGATTCATAAAAATGAATAAAAAATTACCAACTTTGAACAGTATTTTGCTACTAAAGTGTAAACAAGAGATGAGATATTTACAATGTTACTCAATGTTGTCCATGATTTTCTCTGTACACACTTTTGCCTAGAATACACAAACTTTCTGGGCTGTCACTCTCCTGTAGTATTTCTCATTGTGTGTAAGAACGACAGAAATTAGGATTTTTCTTGGTTGCCCTTTTCTTCACCCTACACTGATGTGTTTTTCCTTGTGCTGAACTTTTCATGGTCTTCTGGGGTTTTTTGCTTTAGATTTGACCCTGCAGCTGTGACTTGTTGTTTTCTCCCCATCTCTCTTTCATATCACTTCACCACCTTTGTGTTCAAATTAAAAATAAAAATAAAATCTCATTCTAATACACACACTGAATCATTTCCTGCATACAGATCTGTAATACTTCCATGTGTTTGTTGTTTTCTAGCGATCGGCCGTGTGCCAGCAAAGTCGGTGGGTAATCTGACGACCATGAGCGGGGAGGAGGCGGCTCTTCCTCCTGGCTGGACTGTTGATTGGACGATTCGAGGCAGGAGGTATTACATCGATCACAACACAAACACCACTCATTGGAGCCATCCGCTGGAGAGGGAGGGGCTTCCGCCGGGCTGGGAGAGGGTGGAGTCAGCTGAGTTTGGAGTGTATTATGTTGACCACATCAACAAACGTGCCCAGTACAGACACCCCTGCGCACCCAGGTGAGTGTCGAGACGTTCCAGTACATTCTGAGACAGTTTGGTGCCATTTTGTATCTAAAATACACCATCTTTGCTTTTGCTCAGTGTTCCACGTTACGATCAGCCCCCTCCCCCGCCAGTCACCTACCAGCCCCGCCCACCAGAACGCAACCAGCCGGTACTGGTACCAGCAAACCCGTACCACACAGCCGAGATCCCAGACTGGCTGCAGGTGTATGCCAGAGCCCCGCTGAAGTAAGCGTCACATGCACTCATTGTCACACACTGTCAAAGTTTGGAGAGTGGCAGAAATCTTTCACAAACACTCCAATCTCCATCACAGATGGGCGCTGCAGTTGTAGGCAGCTTCATTGGTTGTAATGAGAGTGCTTTAATTTTGTTTGCATCATGCCACATTGCAATGTTGCAACTTGTCGCATTAATATAGAATTCAGCTGATGTGCAGTCACAAGTGTGCAACTATGTATATCAGGTTTTTTACATTTTTTGGGGGGGCGACATAAAACTGTCTCTTCTTGACATGTTTATAACGTCTTAGTCTTTTGAGTTTCATATTTAACTAAATGTTACATAACATGCAGTGTTATTTTAGTATTATTTATATACTATACTATTATATAATATTATAGTATTTATTCATATTTTGAATAGCCTTTTATATTTTGTTTTAATTTTAGTCATTTTATGTGCTTTTGTTTTTTTTTTCATATTTCTATTTAGCTTTAATTTATTTTATTTATAATAATATACGTTATTAATTTATTTCAGTTGTATTTTTTAGTAATTTCAGTACTTCCAATTCATTTTATTTTAGTTAGTTGTCAAGTAGTCTCAGGCTCAGACATCATGCTTATGGACCGATGGCATCAGACCGTTGTCAAGAAAAAAGATATTAATTTCATTTATGGTTTTAAGTTTGTTTTTTGTCATATATATATATATAGTCTGACCGTATGACAAGTACCCAAAACCCTTCTAAAATCGAAGAGACCAGTGATGGGAGACCAGCAACCCAGTTTAGGCTTGATTAAGATGTTTTCTTCAGCAGGGACATCGGGCAGAAGATTTCTCACTTAAAAGTTTTTTTCCCCATTGGCTGGTTCCTGGAAGCCATTAGAAGCTGTTAACTGGTTTTTAATGATGGAGTCTGGTAAGGGCTGATGCCATTAACCTTCAGTCATATTAGTGCGTGTTTGTGCTTTGTCTCAGGTATGACCACATCCTGAAGTGGGAACTCTTCCAGTTGATGGATCTGGACACGTATCAGGGGATGCTAAAGCTGCTCTTCATGAAGGAACTGGAGTGCATTGTTAAATCCTATGAGGCGTATCGACAAGCGCTGCTCACCGAACTCGACACACGCAAACAGCGGCAGCAGTGGTATGCCCAACAACCAGCCAAAAACTTCCCTCCTAACATGTGACTCATATGAGACACACCCAAACTCCAGCCTTATCAGTGCCTTAGCTGCTGATGCAGACTCTCATTTACTCCCTCAAACAGCTCCAAATATAAGCCCAAAGAGAGACACCACACAAAGTCTGTTGGGAACTTTACACTATTACTCCTATATATCCTTATCAGCCATTATACGGCTGTGTGTGTTCTGAGTCTATGCTTGGTTTTGACTGTGTTGTGAATGTGTTTGCACATGTTGAGAGTGTGTTTCTTTGTGCATGTCAGGACTGTGAGGACTCACTCCTTCTGCATTTTCTTTTTGGACAATCACAACTATCAGTTATCAATGGTTTATTGTTTAATCCGACTTTTATTTTCAGTTATAGTTTTGCTTTTAGGGTGAATCTCATTAAAAAACTCATCCAGGTCACATTTTACCTCAAAAAAAAAGAAAGAAAGAAAGAAAATGAAGCTGAATTTAGGGTTATTTAAATCAGCATGAATGAACGGTTTTACATCAAATACCATCATGATGTATACTTTGCAATTTAAATAAATTATAAAAATCGCTAGTTTTTTGCATTACAGTAATGAGTTTTTTTTATATTGAAAATAATGCAATAATCTTCATGGTGCTTCATTTTCTTCAAGTAAAATGTATATTTTTGTTTCTTGTGTTTTGCTTTGTTTTTTGGGAGGGTGAAATATGACTTGGACATTTCTTTGAGGTTCATCCTATAAGGTTTAGGTGGATTCCTTTTTTAAGGAATTTGCTTCTTATATTTAAAGATGAAACTTTCAGGCAGAGTCGTCACTTTGTATGAAGTGATTGAGCTTGTGGCATTCATTTTTTTCAAGAGGTTATTGCCTGTATTTTTGTAAAAGCTATTTTGAGCATCAACACTAAATAAACCAGGACCTTGTATTGTGAGTGTGTGAGATGTTCATGAAGTTTGTCTTTCCAATTCAGGTTGCAAATACTTTTCTCTACTTCACAGTGATTTTTTGCCATTATCCATATTAAACTTTGTTTGTACTTCATATTATATATAAGTAGAACAGAATACTATACAAGTATGTTTGTTTTAATCCTTGAATATTTCTTTTTCTTGCCAATCAAAAAGATTTTTTGCAGCTTTCAAGTAAGAATTCATTGAAAGCTGCTCTTCTATTCATATCTCAAGAGGACACCAAAGCCACTTAATGGAAAACAAATGCAAAATTCAACAATTTGGAAACAAAGTGCTACCGTTCAAAAAGCCAATCCTCAGTAGCATCACAAAGGTATCATCTGGAGCCTCAATTCCTGAATTCCATGGATTTTATTCTAGATTATATGTGTGGGGGAAAAAATCGGGATTCATAAAGGTAAAAACTGATGTGACAAATATATTTTGCATTCTAACTTTTTGTGCTCATACCAGTCATTTTTTTTCATTAGCTCATACAAGGTTAAAATGTGTTAATCTATGCTTGTGATCAATCATGTGTGACCATAAAGACCAGGGGCCCCATTAATAAACATGTAGAATGATCCTTAATATGAATGTACAACAGTTTCCAGAAAGTTCCTATGATTATAAATTGTCTGTATGCACAAAAATAGTTGTCTCAAATTCTATAGAATCAACTCCTTCAACAGAATGCCCACAAATATCACTTTATGGTTCAAAAGAAGTCTTTATAAATGAATTTATGGCAGCCTATAGCCGTTCAAGAGCATAAGAGCTAATGAAACTAAATTTTTGATGCTATGAATGTCTATATAAATCACCAATTTTCTTGGTGATTTTTTGTTATTGAAACACACTTGGCAAATGTTCTTTTCCCACTCCAGTAGACAGGAACCGTAATCACTTGGCTACAAATAGCGCCCCAGAAGCTCTACCATGATGACCATTGAGTGAAGCAAATGTGCAGTATTTTCAGGGTTGATGCCCCAAACATGATGGGATGGAAGGCAAAATCTCTGTAACACGTCGTTTGGCCCATGACAATGACTACAACTTGGGTTTTTAAACATGTAGTAGTTTATTCCCTTATAAATAGCACTGAACTCAACATACGACATCCATTACAAAATAAGCACAGACTGCTTTCATGTGAGTGTCAGAGAGAGAAACGGTATTTACAGTGAGAAGATGGCAAAATGGTGAACTGTCAGAACTAATACTGTGATTTTCTAACGCAGGCACAAGCAACACAGTCAGACCGAATCTTTTCAGTCTGATTCTCCACACCGTCTGACCATGGGCCTGAGCTGTAGGTGCAGGATGTTGCTGTGGTGGGTGATTGTGGCGATATGTTCCTGTTGTAGCGTTGAACAGTCCCGTGTCTCTTTCTCTCTCTGACTGTACGCTCCACTGTCACTGTCCACAGTGCGTCTGCATGAACTGTGTGGGGTCAGTTTTGTTTCTTGTCCTGCTCGGGATGTTGGTCAGTCTGGTGTCCAGGGAAGGCGTGATTATACAACTGCCTGTGGTTTGCTGCTACACTGTACAGCTTATACAGAGCCTGAGCGAGATGGACAGGAAGATACAACATGTTAATGTGAGATGTCTCTTCATATTTGTAAGATGTTGTGAAATTGTTTATGTCTAAATAGGTAAGTGTGTTCAGGTGTGTGTGCAGGTAAACACCCCTTACCTCATTTGTGCTTCCCTAAAACAAAGAAATGAGGAATATAGTTAACCAATCTGTAGTAAAATGTGACCTGATCTATCCATCTATCTATCTATCTATCTATCTATCTATCTACAGATTTTACAGTTTTATTTTTATCTATATTTTGAAGAGTTTTGCACAGAGTGCAGAGGGGTTTGTTCATGTATTATTCGCCTGATTTATATAACATTTTAAGTGAACATTTTAATCCACAAAAACATGGTGATCAAAAGATATATATATATATATATATATACATTCAATAATTTTTATATTAATTTACTTTGAAAAAATATATTTTAGTTTATTATTTATTATTATTATTATTATGTGTATATACACTACCATTGAAAAGTTTGGAGTCGTTAAGTTTTTTATTGAAGAAATGAATACTTTTACTTTGCAATGACGCATTGAAATTAAAAAGTGACAGTAAATATATTTAAATACAGTAAATACAAAATATTCATATATATATATATACACACATACATTGTTTAGGGTTACTTGCATGTAATTATGCATAATTAATTGTTATTATAATAGCAGGTACATGTAACGTGTAACAAGGACACCTTAAAATAAAGGGTTACCAAAAAATATTAAGCAGCACAATTGATTTCAATATTGATATTAATATCAAATTTTTCTTAAGCAACAAATGATTATTGAAGGATCATGTGACACTTAAGACTGGAGTAATGGCTGCTGAACATTAAAAACATTTATATAAATAAACTATATCTAAATGCGTACTTTAAAGTACAGTAAGTCTTTATTTCCTCTTAAATGTTGTGTTTTACCTGATCCCACAGCGCCCCGGCCACCTGGTCAATGACGGCGCCCAGTTCTCTGTATTCTCCTGAGTAGCGGATGTACGCCCAGGTGCACAGAGTGATGAGCGCGAAGCCCAGCACCATGTTGCAGATGCTTGCGATGATGTCAATACCCACGAAGCCCGTGATCCCTGCGGCCACATACATCACAAAGATCACCACGAACAGCGTTGCGGGTGTTCGTGCCGCGTGGAAGATGTTCTTGGAGTCGTTGTGTTTGATGTACTGCACAAACAGCTCATCGATCTCCGCCTCCAGCTGTAGCAGGTATCGCCGGCTGAACTCCTCCCCACCCATTTTCTTCACACTTCGAAACAACGTCAACGCCTCCTCGCGGATGCCCAAGTGACGCGTCTGCAGCTCGCTCGGGGCGAGGAAAGGCCGATCTCCTCCGCTCACCTAAGGCGTAAGACACATTTGATGAAGAGGAGTGACACAAAATACGACGAGAAAGCAGCTGTTAGTATTACACTCACCTCCTCCATCTTCCTGTTGTATAGATCTTTAGCTGCAGCCACTGCAGCCAGATTATTTGCTTCTGCTGTGGCCTGTGGACACAAACACACCCTAACACTGTCATACTGTATGATGCTAATAGCTCTTAGGTGTATTTACTGTATGTCAGGCTGTGGATGTGGAGTGTGTTTGTTAAGAGGTCATACCTGTAACATGGATTTTGGATGTGGCAGCTCCTCTCCCTGGTAAATCTTGATATATGCCTAAAATCATAAACAGCTGCTCCGTTTACTCAAGGCATACCACATATCAAATTAACAATTGTAAACTGCATAAAAAATTAGGGATGCATGATTGGTACCATATTGGTTGCTGGCAGTAGATTTTGTAATATCAGTTGATATTAGATTTATAATTCTGCATTATAATTTCCTCTAACAATGTTAAATGTAATCTTTAGGAAATTAATTTACTTCAAATTTAAAATGCTACTTTACAAAATAGCATTTTATTATGGTATATTCTATATAAACCATTTGCAGTCTGTAAGATTTTAGAAATATTTTGGAAAGAAGTCTCTTCTGCTCACCAAGGCTGCATTTATTTGATCAAAAATAAAACCAGTAAAACTGTGAAATATTATTACAATTTAAAATAACTGTTTCTATTTGATTATATTTTAAAATGTCATTTATTCCTGTGATGGCAAAGCTGAATTTTAAGCAGCCATTACTCCAGTCTTCAGTGTCACATGTTTTGTTTTTCAGGATTATTTGATTAATAGAAAGTTAAAAAGAACAGCATTTATTTTATCGAATTTTTTTGTAACAATGTAAAAGTCTAATGCATTCTTGCTGAATAAAAGTATAAATAAATATGTAAATAAGTAGTATATATAAATAAAATGTAAATACATATATATATATATATCAATTAAAAATTATTTATACTTTTATATATACAATTCTTATACTGTCCCGCTATTTATGAAAATAACGTCAGCAGATGGATTTTTTTTTTATTTAAAAAAAATTGCATTCTTAATAAAATGCCTGTAGGCGAATTCCCATTTCATTCCTAGTAGTAGCTAATGCACCTCTAACAATACTATTACCTTGAAGTACTCCAGAAGTCCACGGCAGGTGATTTTGCTTCCATTTATCTCTTTCACGTCCAGGTTTTTGGGGCGTAATAACCACGGGACAAGCACTTGCAGATTATTGATAAAATCTTGATCGATCTCTGAAACACATGATTGGAAACAGGTGTTTTTGTACTTCACAGTATAAGGACGCCAACATAGCTTCCACATATTTGAGCTCAGCTATCTACTGATTAGCGTGCATCTGTAGACATACCCTTCAATCTGCCGTCAAAGTGTGGGTTTGTGGCCACCTTGAGTCCCGGGTGTGGCATGAGGAAACAGGAGATGTTGGTGAAGCAGGAATGGATGTGTTTCCTCACGTTCTGCAGCTCCTCATGTTGATTCTCTGAGATCTACATATAAACACACGTTGTGGTGGTTATGATTTCAGTTTTTTAATATGTTAGCCCTTCCATATTGCCATATATTAACCTCCTGACCTTTAATCTTTTCTCCAGAAATTTCATTCCTCCTTCCTGTCCATAGGGAAATTCATATGGAAAGCTCCAGTCCCGCACCAGAAAGATCATTGACTTGTGTAAAAACACATACCAGATGAGTACTGATGTTAATTTATAGTAGCATTTCATAATGACAGGTTCATGAAGAACAGTCTGTTTCAGAATGAAACTACAAAAAGGCTGTCAGCAGAAACATTAAAATACAGTAAATACCTGAAATGGTTTAAGGAATGTTTCTTCCATGGCCAGTCTGCCATATTCAGTGAAAAGCTATAAATGTCAACAAAAACAAAAGCAGTTTTTTTTTAACACGAATAAAAAAATTTATACTTATTAATTTTTACTGTTTCACTGTACAAAAACAAAAAACTGCACTCTAAATAAATGCCCTTTCAAAATATTTATTTCATACCAGTGGCTTTTCTGATTAACATTAAAAAAATATGGCTTACAGGCTTGTCAGGTTTATCTAATTTCAAGCATAAATTGAAATTACCATATTGTATTTATGTATTTTTAGTGTTTTATTTGCTTTTATTATCTTCTTGCAATTACACAGCACGTTTTGGTATACTCTGTGTTTTTATAGTGTTTTATAAATAAATATTTAATTAATTTGAATCTAATTAAACTCTGATAACAACTACAGTTCAACAGCATTGCTAGTGGTAAAATGAGTGTCTCTATACCTGCAGATGCTGAAGATCATCTTCCTGAACATTCTGAGATATGTTATACACCTTGAAAAAGAAAAGATGACATCAAGGTTCCACTGAATTTCATTGAAAATATGATGAATAGACATGTTTTTTGGGGGGGTAGTTGTGGACTACCTGCATAGAGCTGATCATGGTACTGAGGGCAAATACAGTGGCTGAGTCACGGAGAGTGGACTGGCTGTCAAAGGTCCCCTGTGTGTCCATTAGCAGCACTGCCACCTACAGGAAAAACAGCACAATGCATGTCTACACACTAATGGTCCGCTGGTGTTTAGTGGAGCTTTGTTGCATTTTCACATACAGGGCTGAGTTACTCTGCTTAC